GGTATCGAAACCCGGATTCTAGCGTTGTAACTCTGCAGACATACCGCTGTGCCACTTGGGGGCTCTGTTTTTATATATAAGTTGTTCGGGTTTTTTCATCTAAAAAAAGCGACATTAATTTCTTGACGACCTAATAACTTACAATCAAGCAAAGCCCACTTGGGTAACAGATCCTGCTTGAAAATGGTTTTACAACAAAGTTCAGCCATATGAAACAATGATCCTTTATGGGGAAATGGCTTAAAATCAAACACATCCCAAGATGAATAAAGATCCTGTTTAAAACATTTCTTATAATCAAGCACAACCCACTTCGAATAAATAACCAATTTTTAAATGTCTTGCAATCAAGCATAGCCCACAAGAAATGAATATTCTGTTTTGTTGTTGTTTGTTATTAAGCACAAAGCTACACAAAGGTATCGAAACCCGGTTTTTAGCGATATAAGTCTGCAGACATACCGCTGTGCCACTGGGGGTGCATCCTGTTTTGAAATATGTGTTTACAATCAAGCACAGTCCACAAAGAATAAAGTTCCTGCTTGAAATATGGCTTTCAATCAATCACAGCCTACAAAGGATAAAGATCCTGTTTAAATTGTGCCTTGCAATCAGTCAGAGCCCATAAGGAGAATAGATCCTGTTTGAAAAATTCTCTTCGCTCAAGAACAACTGAAAATAAATATATTATTTGAAAACTTACTTACAATTAAGTACAACCCACCAAAAATGAAAATTTGATTGAAATTGTATTATAATCGGGCACAATCCACAAGGAATAAAAATTCGTCGCACCAAGAATGAAGATCATATTTGAAAAATGTATCTACAATCGATAATGTTTGAAAAATATCCTACAATCAATCACATAACACTAAATGTACATATACTGTTTTAAAATATGTAGCACTAGATAAAGGTTCTCACCTGATTTCGTTGATATAGTTTGTCATAATATTTAATAAAATCAAATATAACGATCAAAAAGTAAGCTAAGATTAACGTTTGATAAAATAAATAAAACAGTGTTTTTTGCCATAAGTACCACATTTATCGTGTTAAAACCGTCAGAGATTTAAAAATCAATGTCAAAACTTTTCCGATTTATAAATTTTTAAACAAAATTAGTCAAATATCAAATAGGACTAAATACGTAATAAATGTATTGATATAAAAACGGGTATTTACAAACCTGAATGTGAACTTGGAATAAATTAACATAAGATAAAAGTTAAAGATAATAAAATATAAATTTCTGCATTGACCGAACACATAAGTCATACCAGTCATGCCACTTAGTGAAAAAAAAACTGTTCTTTTGGCTTAACCGAGTGACATGATGACTAGAAATATAAGAGAATCTATAGAAATAATTAAACACAGAAAAAATAATCACTATATCCGAATAAAGATGAAAGGTCGTAAAGTCAGAAAGCATACAGGTGGCGCGACCGTCTTTAGGTTCTACTATAGGTTTGCTTCTTTGTTTGTAATTAAGCACAAAGCTACATAAAGGGCTATCTGTTCTCTGCCCACCACGGGTATCGAAACCCGGATTCTAGCGTTGTAAGTCCGCAGGCATACCGCTGTGCCACTGGTGGCTCTACTATATGTACATTCTGTAGTAACCATGTTTTAATTTTTCTCTCCTGAAGACGACAAGATTAGCGTCAAAACATGTAGAGTGTCTGTTTTGAGACCGTTAATGATCTCACAATGGTTTTTACGTTGTCTATTTAAAACTGTTGATCATTTTAGTAGTTTAATTACATAACACACTCATTTATGTCTTTAAAATCAAGCTATTTCTCATAACGTCAGAAGACGAGTGATGCTGATTTTAACTTGAGCTTATAGCATGGTTTGTTAACATAACGATTTAAGACTTTAAATCAAGCTATTTATCATAACGTCAGAAGGCGAGTGATACTGATTTTAACTTGAACTTATAGCATGGTTTGTTAACATAACGATTTAAGACGTTAAAATCAAGTTATTTTTCGTAACGTTAGTCGATACGTGATATTTATTATTGAAACTTTATAATATAGTTTATTATAATGATTTATCACATTAAAATCATGTATTTTTCATAACGTTAAATTATGTGTAATACTTGATATAATCTAAACTATGTAGTGTGTTGTTTTGTTGTTGTTTCTGTTTTGCCTTACTAATTCATGACTTTAAAATCAAGTTATTTCTCACAATATCAGACGATGCATGATATTGATTTTGTGACCTATAAAACTTAATAACAAGTCTTTGTCAATGTGTTATAGAATAATTACTGTATTTTCACCGATAAGCATAGTTTAGGATAAAAAAATCATGATAAGGATTTAAACACTCAACACAAGACAATTCCCGTAAACTTATGTTTTATCAAGCCGTTTTAAAACTTATTTTTTCCCAAATATATTTGTTATCTTAATAATTTGATCTTAACAAAGATGAGGCTAAAACTTCTTTATTAATTCTCTGCAATTCCTTTATTTCAGGAAATCATTAGCTTATGGACACAAATACCTTGACATAAAGTATTCTAACCAGAATGTCGTATGAGATTCTAGTATACATTTTCTTCGATTTGTAAACAACAGATATATTTAATTAAATTAACGGAACTCTCTTAGGATTATTAGGCTTCAGTTTCTGTTCCATGTTTCGAATGGTCATGAGATCTTCCTAGTCTTGGAGTAAAGGCCGTTCGACCAAGTCTGGGTGCGAACGCAGCATGTAAATTGGTTCCTATGTTACCCTCCGACCTACCGATTCGAGGTGTTATTGGATCTCTTCCAATGCGAGGAGTGAAGGCAGACCGCTTATCGTCACCCTCTTCATCGTGAAAGGAACTGGGTAGATGAGTACTCTGACTCCCGATAAGAGAATTAAATGATCGGCCCAAGCGGGGAGCGGGAACTAGCTGACGTAAATTCCTGTGATAGTGTTTTTCATAAGGACTCAGTCCTTGGTACCATGAATGGTAATCTTTGTCTTGTGTGTCATCATTAGACGAAGCTACAGACCTTTTCTTCCTTCCTATTCTTGGCGTAAGCTCAGAAGAGAAGAGCTTAAACGAAGGGGTATACCAAAGTTCTTTGTCAAAGGAGTTTTCGACATCATCTATAATCTCATTCTGGGGAATAGAATATGAGCGACCAATCCTAGGAAATGGAATCAGTCCCTGTCGTTTATCCGTAGACCGACCCACTCGAGGGAAAGGGACCAAACCTTGGCGTTTGTCTTCTGTCCAACTCCAAAAACTCCTACCTACTCTAGGGAAAGGGACTAGGTCTTGGCGTTTGTCTTCATCGAAAACAACGAAGCCTGTCCATAGAAAAAAGTGGTATATTTTTTACATATTTACTAATCAAAAGTTTTATTACCTTATCAGTTGTACAAAACTAGTTGTATTGAATATTTATAAATATTTACACAGCGACAATTATCACACACTATAATTCCTTTAGTATTACTATCCGACTTTGTTATTTTTGAGAAATGACCGACTAATAACTAGTGGTTAGCGTATCGAGCTGAGGATCTAAGGTTAGAGCCCCGATATTCTTATTAACACGCTCTATACTTTCAGCTGTGGAACGTTATAACTGTGGCAGTCATTCCTGCCATTTCGTTAAGAATAACTATATAGGTTGGCTGTTAACGGTGATTAGTTGCGCTGCCTCTGGTCAACAGGAGTAAATTAGAGATGGGTATGCTTGAACCTTGGAGATTTCTGATCTGGCTTTTTAGCCCATGTGTCGGATAAGGTGCCCGTCGGGTAGAAAATACCAATATTTTCAGAAACACACCTTTGATGTAGACAGTGTTCTATTCCATAATGTTTGCAACTAAATGTTTAGAGTAATTTAAAAACCTGTCAGCTTTCATAATACATAATCAGCGTAAACATTATATATTTGTATTTATATCAGAGCTACTTAAGCTATTTGTCGCTATATCTGATTTTGAATTACTGACCAGAGGGAAAGGAGTCAATCAGAAGCACCCTTCAACTCACTATCCACGTTAAGCGATTGATCGCCACTCTTATAACGCACCCATAGTCTTAAATGCGAGGAATTTTTTGCGGTATCAAAATCCAGAACTCTACCACAAGGCCAACCCCCGCCTGTAAGTTGTGAGTTATTTTACAATTTGCTTAAATTTTACTTTGTGGAATATTTTTATTAGTTAAAGAGAAGTGTATTGTTACCATAAAACAAGTTTGAGTCCTAAATGTTTCTAATATTATATGTTTTTGTTCATTTCTTCGGCTAACAAAATTATGCTCCAAATATCTACACAATATGGCATAACATACAGAAAATAAATAACTAAAACAGCTACCTTTGACTGGCCATAGCAATAATACAAGAATACAAGTCTTCATTAGAATAGAGCCAGTTGTTACCAATGGAAAGTCTTTCAACATCAGGTGATCCCTAACAAAGCTTTCTTTCAACGGCGTAAACTTGGTGTGTGTTTCAGATATCTAGGAAATACCAAACATGAAACCGACGGTACAGAATGTCTTCCTTCTCTAGTGGATTGTGTCGTGAAAGTAAACATGATACGTCAGCTCTATTTATACAAACCCTTCTCTATCTCTCTCTCCTGGCCTGATTGGCATCCCGGTACTTTGTGGAGTTCAAGCCTATTGGAAGAGACTAACCTCTTTTTTTTTCATTATCAGAGTTACAAATGAGGATGAATTTTATTCTTGTGATGTTTGTGTGTTTTGTTTTATTTTTCAGTGGCGTTACTCTATGAGAAAAGATTTAGCCCCCAGCAGGAATCTTTTTGGGCAGGCTGTGCTATATTGTGCGGAAAATCCCTCCTGCCAACTCTTTCGAAAACGGGTGGGAAAGGTATAGCGTCTAACCTGATTAAATAATCTTTTATTGGCTTTTACTGTCCCAGCGCGAGATTAAACGGATCGACCGCTAACGGTGAAACCTCATTACAACAGTCCTTTCTAGCAACAACATCCTTCCAGAACTGCAAGCTCAAAATGTGGAAAAACAATGTTTCCTGACCACTTAGACACCTCATTCGTCAGACGTCCAAGACCCAATCTACACCAACTTCACGAAACGCTTTACGTAAAATGCAATGTGGTGTTACTGAGATATATCACTACACTGGACCTTTGATGTAGTAGGCCTAATGCGTATAACTTTCGTTATTACATATTACAGGCTTATGATATCTTTATAGTTAAATAGATAATTTATTATTTAGTGAAAAGACGAGATTAAGCAATAAATAATATCTTAACGTTAATAAATCTAAAAGAAATATCTGTAATTAGAAAATAGTTACATTAAGTGCATTATTACGAAATGAGACTACCTTGTCGATCAAGATAACTGTTCTTCACGTGGTGCCAAAATTTATGTAAACGAAACCTAAACCTTTTCACATTTTGACTTAATAAATATATTCTGTTCAACGTTTGCCTCTTAGTACTAGCAAATTATAAATATTATTGTTATGACAATATTCTTTAAAACTAATTGACTCATGTTTTCATTCAATAACTGGTTTATTTTGTTAAAAACATCGTTTGTTTCTGGTTTTGAAGTAAATAGAATAATATGTTTTGTAATAAATTATTATTCTGACAGTTCAGATTTCTTCTGTTGGAATGAACTTTGTAGTGAACAAGCATTTAAACTGTTCTGGGTGGGGAGGTAGAATTAACGTTGATAATTGGTATGCTAAGAGGTATCGTAAATATAATTAAACAATTAAGTTTCAAACTAAGATAAGATATACGTTTTTTTTTATAAATACAATATGAATAATTTGATAAATATAAACATTTATTAGATGGAATTTAATACTATTAAATATGATTTTAACATTGTTTTAAAAGTATTTCAAATAACGAAGTTAGTCTAGCTTGAAAAGTTCATTTGTCTTAACAATTTAAAACACGGTACATTTCCACCAACAGATGTCGTGATAGTATAAAATTGTGCAGAGAAATTACTGAAATCAGTCCGCTGGATTTATGTAATTACTTTGTTAATCTATAAGAATAAAAAAATAAATAAATACTGATATAATAATAATATTATTATTTCGATTAGATACAAACTATAAAATTACTTGAATTTAAGACCTCGACCGTAACTTCCCTTTCAAAAGAGCGATAATTAGGGTCACAGTGACATATTCTTATTTTCATATAACTTCTTCCACGTCTAAAAATCACAAGTATGAAATTGTTGACAAAGAATACTTTGAAGAAATAATATAATTCTATAGACGTTTACAATATATTTGTCCTCGGCTGCATTTTAAAATAACATCTTAGTCTTGCAGTTTTTATCAAAAAAATATACCAGAAATAATATACTAAACGACAAATAATTAAAGTGATTTTAACTGTGTAACTGTCACTAGATGGCACTAGATCATAACATGAGTAGAGATTAGTTTTACCATATATTATGTAATACCACTGTCAGTGGTTTCTTTAGGCAATTATACATATGTATCTAGAGTACAACTGACACGGTGAAAGAAAATGGTGTCACCTAGCAATACCAGGGTGTACTCTATACACACCCAATTAAGGTGCTAGTTGCCTGCAGCATCCAAGATGCTTGAAATATTATATTTTCACCTCATGATAAATTTCATTTTTCATGCTAGAATATATGTTAGTAACACCCAACGTCTAAGCCTATATACAATAAGGATATCTAAGATATCTTATTTTTCTACTCAAGATAGGTGTTCGTCCTTCACAAGAGTCAGTAATAAAAGTCCGTTTTGTTTCATAATTTCCGCTCTAAGCTATACAAGAGCTATCTGCGCATAGCTGTCCCTATTTTAAAACTGATATACCAAAGAGAAGGTAGCTGATTAGTTAACAACACCTAACACCAAATCTTGGGATACTCTTTGTCTGACCGAATGATGGAATGTGTCGTTTCTGTTGCAACGGGATGCGTACCATGAACTCTCCGAATTACATTCCGGACACGCTAACCATAAACCACGCGCAACCATTTAGCAAAGACAGTTTTTTAGTACTTATGTGTAAAGAAATGATAATGATTGAAAATTCAGTTTATTTATATCTTTGTGGGGTTTAATATTATTTTTCAAAATTTTCTATGTGTCAAAGGTTTCTTTTTGAATCTTCAGTTGTTAACATACATTACACAAAAAATGTATTCTTCAAAATAAAGACTGTTATTCTCATAACAAACTTTAGTGGGTTAATGTAAGACTAAATTAATTTTCTGTGTATCATAAAAGTACTACATAATTTTGTCAGTTGCACCTTTTAAAGATGTAGTTCACATAAAGTTAAAAAAAGTTTCGAGTCTTGTCCATGGACTAGATTTATGGAATCTGTCCTTTAGGAAATTGGAATGATTACAGTAATTACTCAACCCTGATATTGTGGGCGGTGCTTTAGATATTTTCTAATTCTAGCATTTATGCAAAAACAGTCACATTTTTCAATTTTTCTTAGTCTAAGCAGCATGTTCACATTTTTATTGATACTATATTTGTTTTACTTGTAAAACATTGCATACAATTTGTTAATTTCACTTCTTTCACTATCCTTGTTTCAATGGGAGCTGTGTTATTTTGACATTGACGGCTCTGTATCTTGTTTTGTCTAGGTAGCAAGTTATCTGATCAGAATATGCAACAGAGTACGGATCTTTATATCAAAATAAATAGCCTTGCAACTTAGTTTCCATTGCAAATGGCTCCATCTTAAGAGCGCATCCATCCTCCCTGTAACTTTCCATAATCCACCTAGTGTACGAGCACAACGGTTTCCTAGAAACCGTTTCAACAGTCCAATCACCCAGAAATCCATCGACCTTGTGTCCGGCCACATGACCAGAATGTCTTTAAATGAAATAACATGAATATCGTTTCGTTCTCAAGTTGCTTGAGGAGTACGGTGGTTAAACTGATATGTCGTGGAAGCAACTTGTGTACATGTGACTTGTGTCACTTTTCCAGACGAATACCCTTCTTGATTATGTTGCGTACTGTTTGTTGCCTGGGGACGTGGACGGCTTTTGCCATTGATCTTTGTGTTTGTGAAATTTCAACTATAGCAAGTGGCTGCACTTTGCTTGCCGTGGCTGATTTATGAGTTGTTGCAGGTCTGTTTTTCGATAATCCTTTGTTTTCCAAAGCCATTAAATATAAGGGATGCTCTCGACTAGGAAAATTTAAATCCCCGATCCGAACACATCTTTAGGATCCGAGTGTGTGAATAGTTTGAATCTGAGAGATCTCTTTCAATTTTCTGTGGCATCACACTACACACATAACGTCAAACAATGTCATATGTAGTTGTGATACGTGTCGTTCTGTCAAGACTTTACATCGGTGACGGTTGTCATTTTGATAATAACCTACTCAATATAACCTATAGTATTATTATCTTTGATTTCTTTTTTACTGGTTACATCAAAATTTGTAGAGAAAATTGTTTGTTTGTTTGAAATTATGCACAAAGCTACACAATGGACTATCTGTGCACTGTCCACCACGAGTATCGAAACCCGGTTTCTAGCGTTGTAAGTCCGCAGACATACCGCTGTGCTACTGGGGGGGGGGGGGGGGGTGTAGAGAAAAAGTCCTAGTAATAAATTAAAACTCTTTGGAAAACATTTTGTCATTGAACAGTAAACAAAGATATAGTCTTTCCGGTAATCAGGACAACTATGACACTTATTTTTACATTCTGAATCTCGTTGGTTAATGATTTTCAATCAGGAAAAATAAAATGTACGTTTGATGAAAAGAGAATAAAAAATTATACAAAGTACTGCAAACTATGAAATGTTAATATATCAGTATAAAATGTGAAATGTGGTTGTAATTTAATAGCGTCGTTCTGTCTATCTACATTTCAAGATCAGTATATTTCAGTAGTAAATTTTAAAATAGTGAATAACACCCGTATATTTACCCCGTACTTAAACCATTATTTCAAACAATCACATTTTACTGATAACATTATGTGCAAAGTATAATACCTTCTGCCATCAAGTCATTAAATAACCAAATCTATGTAGGAAAAATGGAAATTATTCCAATATAAAATTCTTACGCTGTATGGCATTCACATTGATAACCATGCTTTTACTTTTGTCTAATATATGTGTAATCTCTGTATCAAAACAAGCATTTCCTTTCAGTTTCAATGCAATGTAACTCTGTTTAGGGAAAAATTTCGTTTTCGATTGTTGTTTTTTGATATTATAGTAATTATATTTTATATTATAGTAATAATTTTTCTCAAATATAGGTTTAACTATGCTTACAAAATACCTTTCTTCTGCCGTTAGTCAACTAATATAGGTGCCTTTTGACATTTATTAACGCAGATCGCTGCATCAAACAAGTCTTAAACGTTTTTTACTTTCTTTCACTACACAACATTCCCTTACTCGTTTATGAAGTATAACTTCTTTCATTGCCAGATATTTCATCTAAAGATTAGCACAAACTCAAAAGTGTTTTATTTCAATGGTTTCAAAATATGTCATACGAGACACTGATTAACATTTG